TCTCCCAGGGTCCGTGGGCCGCCCCTGATCAGTATTGTTTCCTGAAGGTATTGTCCCCTCCCCCGAGTCCAGACAGACCAGTCCAGAGCCATCGCTGAAGCCCAGAGGATATGGCTCTCCAAGCGGTTACCTGGCCTTGGCACATGGCTCTCCCCTCCCCCCATCTCTGTTTTTACACACAGCTCAGGGCAGCCCGGCCAGCCCTCCCACCCTCCCCTGTAAATAGACACTATTTTTGAAAGTACCTGCGGGGCGGTGGCGGGGGTCCCTAATGTCGCTTGGCTTTTGTTGCCGGGATCCTGGCTGTGGGAGATGCCCTAGCGGCAGACACGTGGTGTCTGGGGCAGGGCAGGGCAGGTCCCTCTGCAATGCAAGCCCTTTTCTAGTGCCCTCATGACTTCCCTCCGTATCCTTTTCCACCAGCAACCGGTGACTGTCCCTTGGGGCCTGGCCCTGCTTTGAGATGTCCTGAGGGGGAAAAGATCTGTCCATTTTTCTCCTGTGCCTCACAGCGTAATTGCCTTTTTCCTATGTAAATATTGCCATGATGGACCAAGACAGAAGCAATGAACCTTTCCGCCTTGCATCAGCCCCGTGTATAAAGCCATTACCCCCCAGGCACCCTTTAACTCACTTTAAAACCTCTTTCTGAAGTCCCCTCCCTCCTTTTCTCCGGGGCCACTGCTTGAAGAATATGTATGTTTCTATTTTGTGTTGTATGTGCGCCTCTCTGTCTCCCAGAGTGCTGACTGTGGGGAAATCGTCGAGCTGCTGTTTTTAGACACAGAGAAGTGTAAATTATGTGGAAGAGGCAAACCTGATACAATTTGCCCAAGGTAAACAGTTTGAAAAGACAAATGGGCCTGCCACACTGTACAGTTCCTGCCCCGAGAGCTCTTAGGTATCAAAGTGTTGTCCTTCCCCCCACCTCTGTTTTTCTGGTTGAGATCGCGTCACTGATGAATTCCCAAAGTCAACGGAGGAGGGCGGAGACCTCGTGTTTACATGAGTTTCTACACGTTTCAGACAGAGACTCTTTAAGGCCTGCACTCTCATTTTACTAAAGAAAAATTAATGTCAGCACATGTTGCTAATGACAGTGGATTTTTTAAATAAAAACGTTTACAGATCAAATGTGAAATAAACATGAATTAAATGCTCCTGCCTGTTACCTGAGTTTCCAAAAGCTTTAAGACTCCGCGAACATCTTTAAATTGAAAAATACATGCACTTTATAAAACACCTTTACAAGTGCAAGCAACAACAAAGCTACCATTTCCTAAGTGTTTTTTTTTTTTTTTAATGTGCTGGACACAACGAGGAGCTCACTATAGGTTTTGCTTCATTTAATTTTCCCACAAACCCTATGAATTAAGGAATATTATTATATCCATTTTACAGGTGAAGAAACTGAGTCTCAGAGGGCAAGATATTTGCCCAAGGTTAACAAGAGGTGGAAATGCTTCGTATCCAGCTTTGTCTGGTTCCAGGGTCTGTGTTCTTAACCCCAGTCTTGCCAGAGGCGCATGGTTACCACTTTGCAGAATGCTGCCAGCAGTGAGGTCTCTACACAAAATGTGCCATGTACACAAAGTATGGGCTATATTCCAAGCATGCAGATATCTACAGAGTGTGCAGATACCGCAGGGTGTCTATATGCCCTAAAGTGTGTACATAGTCCAAAAGGTATGTATATCCCCTGAAGTATGGCATATGCACCAAGTGTGGAATATATTCCAAAATGTGTATCTCACCTTACAGCACGATAATGTACAACATGTGTGTAACCCATGGTGTGGTATAAATACCTAAATAGAAGCATGTCTTGGTTGGTGGCTTGAAATCTCTCTGGCCAAAAGCTGTGAGACTGTGTCACCTCCTGTCCTCCCTGTTGCATTTCTGTAACATCAAGTTCTGCTCTGTTGTCCAGGGGAGCTGAAGATCCTCACTGTACGGTGGTGGTTATAGCACTTGGAAGTGGGAAGGGCCCTTAGAAATCCAAGAATCCGACCCCTCATTTTCCAAGGGGAGTGGCTTGCGCAGGGTCGCACAGCTCTGGGTGACAGGGCTCTGGACCCACGCTGCCTCGTGCAGCTGGAGGCAGCTGGAGCCGCTCTGTGTCTGATCACACGCACAGCTGATGGAGCGCTATTCATCCGGGAGCTGGGTTTGAGGGGCCATCACAAGCCACAGGTCATGGTTTGGGGAAGGTTGGACTCTGTAAGGCAGGCACTTCGTAAGGACGGACTTTGTAAGGTCCTGGAGCACCCTCTGGGCCACACTTGTCTTCTTTAACTTTTTTAGTGGGGGCCAAGGGGTATGGCAGGGTGGAAGCCCTGAGAAGACATCTGGGTCCTGAGGGGCCCTGGGGGGAGGGAAGGCATCGGTTCCCAGAGGTTTTTGGAGAGGTGGGAACATCTGACCCTGCAGACGGGGGTGGGCAGGCTGCTGGTTCCAGTGACCCCGGCCTGGGGGCTCCACACCATGACCTTTGCTGCCAAGTCTGGCTGCCTGGTCTGGTGCTGAGCCTGGCTCCCTGCCCCCACTCCAGCCTCTTTCTCCCTCCCACTCCAGGCACCCATCGCCCCAAAGGCAAACAGTGCCAGACAGTAAGCCAGCCTGGCAGGCCCCCAGGACCTGGGCTGTGTGTCTCAGACGCAGGGGCAGATACAAACAGCTCTTGCTGTTGACTCTTTTCTGCTGTCTGCGGGTCTGTGTTTGCCTTGCCTTCACCCCCAGAGGCCCTGCTCCCTGGGAAAGCGGGAAGTGTGGGCAGCCCCTTCCCCGGCTTTTCCAGCTGCAGAGAAGCCTCAGAGATGGAGGAGTCCTGGGCAACATGGGGAGAGAGGGCCGGAGTTGGCAGGGGCATCACTGTTCATTGCCAAGGGCTTAAGCAAATCTGCAAAGGGGTGGGGTGGGGTGGGGAGGGGACTGTAGGAGGAGAAATGGCCCTCATGGGGGTCTTACCTAAAGATCAGGAGGTGAGACTGTCACCTCACAGCTTCCTGTCCACATCTGGTCCGGATTACCAGCCCAAGGGGACCTGTCTTCATGGTGGAATCTCCTACTTTATGTGACTTTGGTTAGCATATCAGAAGCCACTGGCTTTTGGGTCTAAAGCATTTTTTGCTCGATTTATTCCTGCAAGGTGCCTTGAGTTGGAGGAGTGCCCTTGCTTGAGCCTGGGTGCAAGACTTTATTCAGTATCTTCTGTGCTATGGGGCTGGAGGGGAGAATGGCGAAAAAGTGCCTTCGGTTTCCCCCCTTTATGACTCTATAATCAAATCAGAGTTTTAGAGCCAGAAGTTCCCACACACATCCTCCACTTTGATTTTGTGCTGTTGAGGGACCGGAGACCTTGAAAGGGTGACTGCTCATGGGACCTTGTGAGGAACCTTGAGCCCACTGCTCCCTGACTCTCCGTTTGATGCCATTGATATTCATCCGGAATCCTGTTTTGCTGTTGGATTTGGTGAGTTGCTGATCAACCCCAGAGGAGCCCTCTTTGCTTGTTCTGTGCCAAGCACCATGCCAGGCACTGTGAGGAGGACCTCTCCCGTCCATGCACATGTCCTGCAGAGCCCAGCATTGGTCCCTAAGTGGTTATTAGGGCTGCCCTGTGCTCTGGAAGCATTAAGGCTGCCGGGGGGTGCAGGATGTGCGGTGTGAAGCATTAAGTAGCCATACAACAGTGACAGAGTGATGAGGGTCAGTGGGTGCTGAGTGCCCTGAAGGTCATGGCATCTCTCTGTACTGTTGTGTGTGCAGTGGGGGAGAGGTCGCTGCGGCCGGGAGCTCAGGGAGTAGAATGTGGGAGATGGGGTGCCAGGACTGTAGCTGAGGAAGGGGGGCAGGGAAGGCAGCTCGGGTTCCAGCAGCTGAGCCCTGTGGAAGCACTGCAAGGCCTAGGGCAGGCCTCAGCTTTCATTTCTCCCACCTGATCCCCCTTGAGGACACCCATCCTACCAGGAAACCTACCTCCCTGACTCAAATAGGTAGCAGGATCCAAGCACCCAGGCTCCTGCCCTTGGCAGAGCCAGGGCCCACCACCAGGCCTGGAGTGCAGGCGTGTGCCCTGGGCCCACATCGCCCAAAGTGGGCCTGAGGGTCTGGGACGCTCAGTTGAGGGCGTGCCTGCGAGGGAAGCCATGCGGAGTCACGCAGCACAATCACCAACACCAGGATTTGTTTTGAAAATAGCATTGATCTCTTCGATTACCAGAAACCCTGGGGTTTAGAGTTAAACACAAAAAAGGGAACAAGGCCTGTTGGAAAGAGCCTGGACCTGGGAATTAGGAGGCCTGCGTGCTAGTCCCAGCTGTGCCTTCTACCAGGGTTGTGACCTCACACAAAGCCCTTTCTGAGCCCCAATTACTCCACTTATGAAATGAAAATGGCTAGACTAGACCAGTGCGATTTATAAGTGTGTTCTGTCGAGTTTAATGAACTACAAAAATCAACCTCAATCTCTCTCTCACACACAAGTATTTATCATCTATCATCTGTCTATTTACATCATCTAGCTGATGAATTGCTGGGCTAAGCGACTGTAACAGGCGCTTTTCTTCAGGGCGTCTCAGAGCCTCAAATACGCCCGCGTGGTTGTGATTCTGAGAGAGGTGGATAGGGAGAGCTGTGTTTCTCAAACTGCCCAGAGTACAGACTGTCATTCTTTACAGAGCACCTCAGTGAGTCATGTTGCAAGAACCCATGTCATACTGGGCTAAGGCATCTCACGGGGCCTTCCTCTTGATCAGTTTTGAGATTCTGTGACATGTCAGGCAATGTCAGACATGACAGGTCTGCTCTCTCCTCTGCTGCTCCCTCCCCTAGGCAGGGGCCAAGCGCTATGTTCTTCTTGGGCACAGCTGACTCTAAGAGTCATTGCCCTCATTGCGACGAGGGGCTGTGTTGGGTTTGTTACGAGTATGGCCAGACGGCCCCCCACACACGGACAAACGGGCACACACAGACATGCAGACACAGACAGACAGGTGCATACCACCCTCCCGGCCAGCTGGTGAGTCAGGTGAGAGACGGCCCCAGGGAACCATGTGACTGGCTCTTGGCCAAAGTTGTCTGGGCTGTCCTCAGGTCTGTGGCTCAGGTCCAGCCTGGGAGGCTAAGAAGCAGACCCTGAGCTGCCCAGCAGTGGTGACCAATGAGGCTGAGGTCTGGGTGCAAAGTGGCGGGGGTGGGGGAGGAAATGGTGCAGGTCAATGACCCCACTGTATCCTGGGTACACTGAGTTCTGCTGCTCCTTCCTCAGCACCTCTGGGCACCCCTTAGCCTTCCTTATTAGCAGGTACACACGTTAAGGATTATTTTTTATGCTCTTGTCCCAGAGGAGGCACTGAGAGTCTTAACAAATTATACATTCTTTTATGCATTCATTCATTCAACAGTGATTTTTTTTGAGCTGTTCCCCAAACTAATATCACTCACTGATCCCGCACTCTTTGCGCTGGGGGTGGAGTGGTGAAGAAGATAATTAGGATATTCACCCCACAGAACTTCTTCTTTTGTAGGGGAGACGGATATTAAGTGGGCACCAAGGAGTGGTAAGCAGGCTGATGAGGGTGGTACAGTGGGAAAACTATTACAGCAAAGTGAAAGGGAAGGTCTAGAACTATACCTCACAGTATGGACACTCCTCACATGACTGCTGAGCCAAGAAAGCAGACGTAGGAGCACATACTATACGAATCTCTCTGCCTAATGTGCAAAAGTAAGGCCGTCTCTGATGTTCGACAGGGACTCCCTGTGGGGGAGCCTGCCCTGGGCTAAGGCATCAGAGGAGATCCCCGGAGAAGTGACAGCTAGAGGGGAGCTGAGGGATGGGCAGGGAGGGGTCTGGAAAAGGGACTGGGGTGAAACAGGAGCATCATATGTCCAAGCAACTAAATGAAGTCCACCTTAGTCGGATGGTGAGAGGCAGAAAGGAGATGGGACAGGCTGAGAGGGGGTGGGGTCAGATCCTGCAGCCACCTGGGAGGATTTTTCACAAGGGCAGTGGGAGGCCTGGAGTGTTAGTGAGGGGGTCCTGGGACAGTTTAGGCAGATGATGAACATGGTTAGATTTTTTGCTGCTGGGTGGAGACTGATGGGGCGGGGTGTGCTGGGAACAGATGATAGTGGCCTGATCAGCAGCGTGCTGACATCCTACTCTAAGAAGCTCAGAGCCCCTACCTCCCCAAAGTCACCTAAAAGCAGTGCCAGTCATTGTGCAGACCCAGATACTGGGATTTCAGTGATGCCCTTGCTTGCAAAATACTGCATACCCACCCCCACCCCACCCCAACGCAATTTTCCAAGCGTCTTTACATGTCCACACACACACACACACACACACACACACACACACACCCTCTGTGAATGCCCATCTTCAGAGAGGGGTTCCTGGGCTCAGAGCACAGGGTTACATGCAGACACCTCCCCCTTGGTGGTGGGAAACTGACAGGCCGTGGAAACTGGTCTGAACTGTTGCCTGTTTCTGAACCTCGGCTGCCTTATCTGCACAGCAGGTCAGGGAGGATGAAAGGAGACCACGGAGAATAAGCCGTGTGTGGCTGTGTGCGCCCTGGAGCTGCCCAAAGACTCACTGACCATGGAGGGCAACGGAGAGCTTGAAGGCGCTCAACACCCCGGGGATTCCGCTTGGGATCGGATCTGATAAGCCCCCAATCTGGGACTCATCTTGCTTAATCCTATACCAGGCCCGGTGAAGAGAAAACACCCTCTGTTTACAAGGAGTTCAGGAAACCTGTGATTGGATACAGCTGTTTGCTCTCAGCAGCAATCCACTGCTCACTGCTCGGGGCAGGGCCTTTTCCTCGGACTCTCTGCACGTGCTTGGCTGCTTGAAACCCAATCCCTGAACTTTCAACACTTGCTGGTTTGCAAGGTAGCCCTCCCTCCCGGGATCTCCCAGGGACAGTGCCCAGGTCTCGGAGGGAATGGCTGGTGGTCCTGAGAGGGCACTTTAAAGTGGAGACTTGGGCATCTGAAGACCGATTACAACCCTGGACCCGTCACAGAGCTTTGATTTTAACCCTGCACAGCTGGCCCGCCTCCGCCCTCCCCCTGCAATGCCGCCATGATGGCACCAGCGCTCCTGTGAGTGGCCCAGGTCAGTGCAGACTGCAGACCTTTTCTCCTCTGGTTTGGGTGCAGGAGGCTGGGCTTTGCTCAGGAAGCTGCTGTGGGATGAGCCGGGCTGGGCCGGCCACTTTGGACAGGGCCAGCCCCACGCCCTTCGAACCGGTGTTTTAGGGTGATTCGTAATAGGGATTTGACCTCTTTGGCTCTTAGCTTTCTCTCTTCCTGCCCGATGAAAGAAAGGCCTTGTGTTTTCCAGTAGAGCAAGAGGGTGGGATTGGACATTCTCCAAGTCCCATACAGGACCCACGATGACCGTGATGGTTTCCAGGGGAGCAGCCCAACGCCAAGGCCGCCTGAAGCCCAGGTTAGGGCTCCTTGCACCCCAGGCTGGTTTTCATTTCCTGATGATAACGCTCTTGTTTCTGCCTCCACAACTCCGCTCAAGCTGTTCTGTCCTCCGTGTGGAATGCCACGTGACTCTTCCCGGCTGCCTCGCAACATCACACCCAAACTTTGCAGCCAAACTACAGCACAAGATGTTTTTTTTAAATCCTCACTCGAGGATATTTTCATTGATTTAAGACGAGAGAGAGAGAGAGAGAGAGAGAGAGAGAGAGAGAGAGAGAGAGAAATGCCAATGTGAGAGAGAAACATCACGCGGTTGCCTCCCATAGGCACCCCAAACAGGGATTGAACCCGACTGGGAATTGAACCCACAACCTTTTGGTGTGCAGAATGACACTCCAACCAACTGAGCCACCCGGCCAGGCACAACCCTTTTTAATTTTAATAGTGGGAAGAAGCTGATGTTTGGCATCAGTTATTGCAGGGCTTGAACCTTGGGTCTGACTCCCTGTCAACTTCCTTCCCTGTCCCTGAACGTGGCAAATGCCCGGTGAGTGCTGCTGTAAGGGGCTGCTGGGGGGCCGGTCCCCAGATGAGCCTGTCTTCCCGGCTCCCAGGCAGGGTCTTTTCACCACACTTTCTTCTTGCTCAAATGACTCGGCGCCAGGGATTGGTTGGTTCTTACCAATCGGCTGTGCCTGCTCTGTGGGGGGGACTTTTGGTCAGAAGAGTTTCAGACGTAAACCAAGAGGAAAGCGTGAGCAAAGCAGATATTTTGCTTTGGACAGATTCTCCCCTTTCAGCCACCCCCAGCCCACATGTTCTCCCAAGCTCGTCAGCACCTGGGTCAGATGAGCTTGGATTTTGGTGTCAGACTGCTGTGCACTGGCAGTGTGGCTCCCTCTCTGACCTTGGTCAAGTTGTGTCATTTTCCAGCGCCTCAGTGTCCTTATCTGATAAATGGGTAAACTGTTAACCTCTTCCACGGTGTCATGGCCGAATGGTTAACTTGTCATATCCACATATTTATCTTGTCTCATTCCTGAGAGTGTTAGTTCCACAAGGTGGGGGGTGGAGCTTGGTTTCCTG